GTTCTTGTATATATAAGATAGCCGAGTCGGTGTACAGTTAGTGTTGGGTTCGGGACAGGTTAACTGTTTGCACTTGTGTATTGTCTGCTGTGCATGCGTGGTACGGTAAAAATACACGTGTCGGGTGTCCTGGTCGAATGGGAGTTCTTGACGATCGATTCCCACGCTGGCAAACTTTTATTGTGGTGAAATTTAATCGGGGCGGAGGTAATTTAAAAGGGGCGCAACGATTGAAACAGGGGGGGGTTTCCCAAACGGGGCGCGCGCGCCCCGTGTGCGCAACGTAGGGAGAACCCTGAACGTGGGTAACGTGATCCCTTGTAGATGGTCCCATCTCTCAATATCGTGCTGGTTTGGATTGTGTCGCTGTGTCACCTGTCACTGCCGTCCAAGTCACTGATCTCAAGATCGCTAATCCGGCGAGTTGTCATGCAGTGTGGCGTTCCCATGGTGTCGAGGATAATTTTCCTTTTTTGTCCTGTCACGCCCAACTGCTTTGCGAGCTTGTCGGTGCAGAAACTGACATTACTGCCAGTGCTGAGAAAAGCATATGTCTCCAGTGGTGTTGTTCCGAGTTCGGACCAAGACTGGTACAATGGCCATAGGTATATAGCCATAGTAGCCCAGGTATTGCTAGTTTTACCTTATGGCTGCGATGGTGGCCTTACTCGACTCTCGTCGTGTAATAAAGTGGCGAACCCAGCTTCAAAGGCGAATTTCTTTGCTCTTCCCCGGTTGGTCTCTGTCGACCCATGAGTAGAACCACCATTCTCAGCACTGCTAGCCAGGCTACGCATGCCGCCCTTGGCCTTACTATAAACCTGTTTCCCACCGGCTGTCTTTCCGTTGTCGGCAGCCAGAACGTCCCTCCCGTATAGAGGGTCCGTGGCTTTTTTAGCTTCCCCACGGACGAAGTCCACCAAGTGCTTGAACTGAAAAACGTGCTCGGAGTCTCTTGTTTTCTGATAGATGGTCCTCCACCTATCATGCAGATAGAAGGGGAGCTTCTTGAGAAGCTGCCGTATATGGTCCGCATACTCCAGCACTTGACCGGCTTGAACAATACCCACCGTGTGTTGACACTCCATCAAAAACACTGCAAAGTCATCCAGGGCCTTAGCGTTGTCCGGCTTTATGACTGGTCAGTTCAACGCCCTCTTTATGTAGGCTGCTGCAACGAGTTCCGAGTCGCCATATATAATCTTCAATTCGTCCATGGCGGCTTTATAACCTACTGTACTCTCTAGGTGTGAGTGCCCTTTTACAATCTTGTGAGCATCCGCAGTGGTGTACTGTTCCAAGTAGCTAAGTCTCTCATCGTCAGAGTCTGTGTATGCAACTATTCTCGTCTGGACCTGACGAAGGTAACGTGGATATTCGATCGGGTCTCCTCCGAATTTCTAGAGTTCTATCTGTGGTTTCCTAAGTTCCTTGGTAATGGAACCCAGGTCCGGTGCTGGGACGTATGGCTGAGCGTCAGGAGATAGTGTCTGGTGAGGTTGGACTACAGCAGGTGCTGTCTGAGCCTGTATTTTAGTTATGGCGTGTTGACCACTGTTGGCCACGAAGTGAGCGGTCCTAGCTGCGGCCGACTCCTCGAGGGTAGGCATAACATTAACGTTGTTGCTAAGGTGGTCGGGTTAAAAGTCACCACGCTCGTTCATCTCCATCTCCTCTATAACTCTCACCCTAGCGTCACTGACGTTTAACTCTGTCCTCATCCTGAGTTTCTCCTCCTTGAGCCTGAGTGCCAACTTGGCA